TGAGGTACTGAGAATTCTTAGTTGACTAAGGCAACTAAGGGTAGGAGTATAGATACAAAATTATGCCTTATGTGCCAATGAGTGTATATCTTTGACCGTTGAGGAGTACTATGAACGCTTGCGACACTTTGCCCCACGTTAAGCCAATGTAAGACTTGGGTAATTGCTGTTATTGCGTAACAATTACGTCTCACGGGAAAAGGGATGGGCAAGTGTGTCTATTGCGCGAAGTGCTCCAGTCAAAGATGACACAACACAAAAAGACAGTAATAATATATATTGAAATAAAAGTCTTGGTAACAGAGTTGCAAATCTGACTGCACAGTCCAGGTGAAACCTAAAAAACAAGCTGGCTTGTTGTCACCTCGACAGTGCAGGCAGAAAGAGCCATTGTACAGATACAATAATGAAAATAAATAATAATCCGACTGATATGTAGGATGTGACGACAATACTTAATAGGGGCAACAATATTATTAAAGGACAAATAAATACAATATTGGTACAAAAGTATATGTGCATATATGAGCACACAATCCCAAAGAGTATTTACATAAATACCTTTAATTACATAACCCAAAAGAATCGTCACACCCATCCTATCAGAGGATTTACATAGGGCCCCACCTGAGGTGAGGTGAAGGTCACATTAATATTAAGGGCCAATTGGAAATATAAAAATATATATATATATACACAAAGTGGGGCAATATTTATACCCAACACATTTGGAATATATGATACAGAAAACCGGTTGATTGATAAACACAATAGCCACGACAGGACACCTGGCCTGTACGACACATGTGGCTAAGGGAAATGGGGTATGACTGCCTGTTGGATGATCATACTAGTCAATATGAGGCTAGCTCCAACAGAATGTCAATACACCCAGTAGGTACACCACTTGGGGCTACCCAGGATAAACACCTAATTGTAGTAAGTAAATTGACAATATGTAATAAACGGATATTACATAATTTACATTACTACAATATGTAGGTATATTATTGGCCATATAATATAATACATTATATTATTATTGAATAAACTGTGACTTCACTTTCACATCAAGTGGGGGAACATACTAAAATATGATTGATATAGTGGCATGGTACGGTAGTCAATGCTATGTTAAGATAACCATGAAGCAGACGACGGACCCTAGTTTTGTTTACATCCGGTGCAGCCATTTTGTAATGGAGCCGGACGGGAGCCGGAGAATGCCGAGGATAGCCGAAGACAGCCCAGGCTGTGTGCTGCTCAGTGGAGAGGTCAGCACTGGTCAGTGAGCATGACCGCCACTAATTGGTTCCAGCTGACACCGTGATACTCCAACTGAGCACATGGTTTGGAAACCGGGACAGTGATACAGAGACTTTTTAATTTAGATTAAAATGGCAAAAAGAGTTCTGTTGTTAGCAGCAACAAGTTGTAAATAAATGGAATTTAATACAGAAGACCCAGTTGCAATATCGAAGCAAACTGAGGTTCTTACCTAAAAAACAAGCTGGCTTGTTGTCACCTCGACAGTGCAGGCAGAAAGAGGAAGATTTCAGGCTTGGGGGTCCCACGCTCCCTCTTGCCCCTGTCATGTGACAACAAAGCCCCTGGGGATTGGCTAAAAAATTGTTGCTATGGAAACCATGGCACCAGTGCCTTGAGCCCCAGAACCCTATCAGATAACTGGTAAAGGGCAGGATATTGGGTTACTTGTGCAAAAGACTAGGACAAAACATCCAGCCTTTACACTCACTATACAGCTACGTATATATTCTCCTTGCTTCAGTTGTTGTATCTCTTGCTTGATAACGGTGTTAGTTCCTACACCGAAACGTCACACTCATTGCAATAAAGAAGTTAACTATCCATAGAAATCAGTTTTCCTTCATCTTCACAACTTCTAAAATGCCTCTCAAAGAAATTACCGGAAGATTGATGAGACAAGCTTCAAGCCATGATTCCAGAATCGATCATCTCTCCGCTTCCATGACGGATATGGCAAGGGTTCCTAGTTCCGATAATAGACCTGTTTGCAACAAAGTTCAACAAGCAACTACTAACATTCGTCTCTCCGATTCCGGATCCTCAGGCATTGGCAACAGACGCTTTAAGCATCTCATGGGAAGGACTAAACGCTTATGCGTTTCCACCTCCAGCACTACTACCACAAGTAATACAGGAAATCAAACAGATGACAACGCTGCAACTGATTTTGGTCGTGCCCTATTGGCCAGCGAGGGTATGAATACCTGTGTCATCTGCAACAGACGAGACGCTTAAAAGGTTCAACACTCTCAACGTACCTGGCTGCGCTCAGCACAGTAATCACCATGAAGACGGGTGTCAAGCTGACCAAAGTACCAGAGATACTGGCACTACTACGCTCGTTCAAGTTGGAAGACCAACAAAAGTATTTCAAGGCTCCTGCCTGGGATCTCAACATAGTTCTACAACATCTCACCAGTGATGCCTACGAGCCTCTAAATGGACATCCTTTGAACTACTGACTCAGAAAACGCTGTTCCTGATCGCCCTAGCAACAGCAGCACGGATGTCAGAAATACATGTTCTGGACTTCGAACGAACACGATTTGAATCGTGACATCTTACATCTAGGACTGAGATGGGATTTTATTGCCAAGAAACAACTGCCCGGCCAGCCTGACATCCCAGCACTCTCTACAGTCCTTGGACCACAGGATACACAGGATCTATCCTTATGCCCTGTCAGAGCACTAAAAGTCTACCTACAAAGGACAAATACAAGGAAACGAAAATTCAAGCGCCTATTCATCCCCTTATCTACTGAGATGCCCACGGAAATATACACTTGCTCTGCATGGAAACTGCACGATTACAACAATAATGGAGGGTTGCTTTTGGAAATCGGACACAGTGTTTGCCAACCACTACCTCAGAGACATTGCCACCGAAGACGTCTCAGGCATTCACCAGTTTGGGCCACTTGTTGTAGCACAACAACTAACGGTTCCACAAAGGCGCTGAGAAAAATATCACCCTTTTTATCACGTGACTTATGAAAACCAACGCTCTGGAGAGCAAATGGTTAAAGTCGATGCACACGTCTAGGACAGGGTAGCATGAGTGATAGACCCTGTACTTGTATAGGACATACTCGTACATGAACAAGGGTCGCATCTCCACTTGATGCGCGCATCAAGAGATGGAGTTGCAATAGATAACTAATGGAACATTAGTATATCTAAAAATTCACACGAAATGTCAGGAGAAGTTTCGGAAGAAATCTGACAAGTTGTGGTTCCCCCCAGACTCATCAGAGGAACTTGAAAGAACAGAATCATCAGCAGTGCCGTCATAAGTTCCCATGGGGGGTAATCCGGGACGTAAATCTACAGCCAGAGAATCCAGAAGTGGCCTGACCCACCACCGATTCCGACGGATTCTGCAAGCATTTAGCATGAGTCAGGATAAGGAAAAATATGTAATTTTCTGACTCAAATTGATATTTTATACTTATCCTGACTCATGAGGTCAGCCCTCCCAACCTCCCCTCTTATGGCACTCTGGATTTCCCTGTAAATCCGGGTGTCGGGCATTCAAACGGAGAGAGTGACAAGGCATGGTCGGTCAGGTGACCAAAAGAGCGCCAAAGGGGCAAGGGAGGCAACTCCTGGGTGAGTAGTGATTTTACGTCAGCTTTGTGGAAGGGCACTTCAAGGGATTTCAAGTGTTCCACTATCATTCACAAGGACAAGCATTTAGCATGAGTCAGGATAAGTATAAAATTTAAATTTTAGTCAGAAAATTACATTTTTCTTCAGCACTCTGGATTTCCCTGTAAATCCGGGTGTCGGGCATTCAAACGGAGAGACAGGGTAAACTGCAGATTTTTTTTGCGGAATTTTGAAATATGGGATGCAGAATTTACTTATATTTGCCGTGGAATTCTTAAATATTGTCGCGGAATCCAGAAGGGACTGAACTATGTGAGGCAGTGTGAACAGTTCACACATAGTCTGACAGGCACTATGGAGGGAAGTCAGAGAAGTCAGACTGACACTTGACCAGCAGAACGCCTGGATAGGCTGGTCAGTGTTCGTCCCTCTGTGTCCATGGCTTGCCTCCTGCTGGTCTGTCCGCGCTTTTTCACGCTGTCTTTTTGCGGTCTTCCCCTATCCTACCTGCTCGGCGGATGCATGACAAACTGCCTGTGTAATTTTACTTCCGTCAAATATTGCCACCCTATTGTAATACTGTCATTGTAATGACTTTGCAGTAATTTGTATTAATATGTAAACGGTCATAAGTTTATCATACACCTGTTCCCTGTAATATGTGTCTTGTTGCTTTCGCGCTGAATCCTCCTGTGTTTGGATTTCTGGGTTAACTGATTGCTTAACTTTGGAGGTCAATATACAACACTGATCACATAGTAAACATGACTATGTGTGATAGAGCTTTTGGTTAATCTTGTAGATTTGTGGTAATCAGCTGAAGCATGTTCTTCGGAAGTTGAGAGCAAGTCTGTACTCAACAAAGAGATATACTAGTATTCAAGAAGCACTATCTGCTGACTCGCACAGTGTTGGTGTCTGTTGGGATGGCACCCGGAGCATCAATTCAAACCTTAGCATCGTTAAGGATGAGACCATTACATATTAGTTGATGATGATTTCGAGATTTTACTTGCACTTTCCAACATGTGTTTCACACACAGGCCTGCCAGGCCATTTACCATGTTTAGTGTTAGATCGAAAGAGGGGTGAACATCACAGAAAGAGAGACCAACCTGAAGGGGTGGGTTACATATTGAATTTTTTTATGTGAATTTTGAATTTGGAAAATTTACCAGAAAATATGTTGGGGGTAGAAGTATGGGGTAGTTTGGTAGGTTTAATCTTTTTTAGATAATGTCACTACTTTATGATCATACTGTAGTTGTGCTCTACTTTCCAGTGTTAAATGTCCATATAATAGTCAGACATCAGTGTTTATGATGTGCGTTATGTTCGCAGGTTTCGCAGGTGTGACATTTTACTGTGTTGCGATAAAATAAAGAGCACTTGGTGTACGGTTGAGGATGCTGCCACCTTTGGTAACAGTAATTCCAATCGGGATAGCCTTGGCATTTGCCTTCTACTTCTTTCGCCAAAGTTGGCAGCACTGTCCACAGCCTGACTCAGGATATCACTCAGGTGAGAGCTTGTCAAGGTGATTGTAATATTGTACCAGTGATGTAACATTATTGGTGATTGTGACGTCGACACTGAGAGTGATTGTGATGGAGCATGAATGTGGTGGAGAGTAATTGTGACACTGAGAGTGATTGTGATGGTGACACTGTGAGTGATTGTGATGGGGAGTGATTGTGACATTGTGATTGATTGTTACACTGAGAGTGATTGTGATGGAGAATGATGGTGACACTGTCAGTGATTGTGATGGAGTTATTGTGACACTGTCAGTGATTGTGGTGGAGAGATATTGTGACACTGTTAGTGATTGTGACATTGAGAGTGATTATAATAGAGAGTGATGGAGAGTTATTGTTACACTGAGAGTGATTGTGACACTGTGATTGATTGTTACACTGAGAGTGATTGTGATGGAGCATGAATGTGGTGGAGAGTTATTGTGACACTGAGAGTGATTGTGACACTGTGATTGATTGTTACACTGAGAGTGATTGTGATTGAGAATGATGGTGACACTGTGAGTGGTTGTGATGGAGAGTTATTGTGACCAGGTCAGTGATTGTGGTGGAGAGTTATTGTGACACTGAGAGTGATTATGATACAGAGAGTGATTATGATAGAGAGTGATTGTGATGAAGAGTGATTGTGACAATGTCAGTGATTGCGACCCTGTCAGGGATTGTGATGGAGAGTTATTGTGACACTGTCAGTGACTGACACTGTGAGCGATTGTGACACTGAGAGTGATTGTGATGAAAAGTGATTGTAACCATGGGAAGTGATTGTAATGGTTAGAGTGACCTTAATAGTGAGAGAGGTTGTAACAATGAGAGTTGAAACAGTGACACAATGTCTGACTATCCATGGGTTTAAATCACTTTAAACAACACTACCATCACAACATTTTACCTTGGACCCCAATGATCTGTACTTTTTTGGACAACCCCAGAGTAATTGTTCTGTCATGGTAACAGGGATTGTAATGGTTAGAAAGATTGTTGTGGTTAGAGGGATTGCCCCATCCCCGTGAGTTGCTCAATGGGTTACAGGCTCCATGCCCTCGAAGAAATGGAGTAGTCAAGTGGTCTACTGGCCATAATATTTTTCTTCTCTACAGGTCATCACCCTTATGACTACCCTGATGACAGCCCTGATGACAACCCTGATGACAGCCCTGATGACAACCCTGATGACAGACCTGATGACAGACCTGATGACAGACCTGATTACAGACCTGATGACAACCCTGATGACAACCAGACTGGCCGAGCTTGTCATCGCCGTCATCGCCTAGCGTGGAAGGGGCCCAGACATCAGCAACGAGTGCGCTGTGTGTTTCGAAAATGAGGGCAATATAGAGTTATCTCCCTGCTCACACACCAACGTGTGTATTGACTGTGTGAACAAGATCATCACTGACTTGGACCGGAGCTGCCCATTCTACAGGAGCTACATTCAGGCATATGCCGTGGTTGTCAGCAGCAGAGCACCTAGATCGACATGAAGCTTTGTCAGCTGATTATGTGCAGACTCGATTCCCTATCTGACAAATTTTACCATTTTGTTTGGGTTTTTTTTATAATTTTTCATTTTTGATTCTCCATAAATTCAGGTCATACAGTTCATAACATAACGGGTTGGTATAATCACGATTCGCAAATATATACAAAGTCGATTTACAGGCAAAATGAATAGGTACTTGAAAATGTAATAGCAGTACATTATATATAGTGCTAGGTTAACAGAACAGCTTGTGACATAGTGACCAAAATTTTGTGAAGCTGTCATATTTGCAATTTGAATAGGCATTAAAACGTTCAGCATAATATGTTGTCTTTGGTGTTTAATCTCTTTGTTTCATTTTGTATATATTATATTTCACTGCTGTTATTATCAAATTCAGAGCATGGTTTCTCTTTTCACAATATCCTAGAATAATATTTTTCTTTGAAAAGATAATATTTGACCCTGTTTTTTCGAATATCCATTCTTCTATTTTCTTCCCAATAGCTTTTATGACTTTAGTCACAAAATAGATGTAGAATTGATTCTTTCTCGGATTTGCAAAATGTGCATGTGTTGGAATCTTTATATTTCATTTTTGTTAGCAAATCATTTGTAGGCAGAAACCTATGCAGTATGCTGTATTGAAACCACGAGTGTTTTAAACTATTACACGATTTAAAGGTTGTTTTTTCTATCGTTTCCCATATATTATCGTCAATAGACTCACTAAGTTTTTTCTAGATTTACCATTTATGAGTATGTCATAAATATCTCTACATCCTTTTGGGTTTCCTACTATATTTGGTAAAAGATATGGCAAGATCAGGGCTTGGATTTTTTCTTCAATATGGATGTTTATGGATTTGCAGTAGTATTTAATTGATTCCACTATTCCTTGACCTCTAGGAAGTTAGTTTTGCACCCAAACGATTTTCTTAATTGTTCCACCGTTAAAAAGTTACCTTGGGCGTCAAACATGTCGTTTATATAAGTAATCCCTTTGCTTGAATAATGTTTATAATTAATTTGTTTTCCATCTATTTTAATATTGTCATTTAACCATAAGGGTTGGGATAAAATATCACATGCGTTTTTTTCTTTTTCTGCTTTTCTGGTTACGAATTTACCCCATGATTTCAAAGTGTCTTTCCAAAAATGATTTATTTCTTGTGTTATTAATGATTCAAGTATGTGTGTTTCGCATGTTTGTATAAAGCTGTCGATGTCCAAATGTGTCTTCGTTTGTAGCAATTTCCTTACTTTTGAATCTAAGTTGATGTGTCTTTTAATCCATGATATTTTTTGTGATTGAATAAGATTTTTTATCTCTGGAGCTCGTATTCCTCCGTATTCATAGTTCTTTGTGATAGTTTCTCGACTGACTTTGTCTGGTTTGTTTTTCCATATAAATTTAAAGCAGAGCTGCTCAGTTTCCTTAATCATTTGATCGTTTGGGTTCGGTAGACTTACAAATAAATGATTAAGTTGCGGTAAAAGTAAATTTTTCAATATGGTATTTCTACCTAAGGGAGTTAGATCTCTTGCTAACCATTGATTCATTGATATTTTGAGAGTCTTAAGTTTATCTTTATAGTTGCCTTCAACCATTTCTGCGATGTTGTGAGTAAATACAATTCCTAATAGTGTAAACGAGTCACTCTTCCAGTCTAAATTCCAGTTTCTACAAAATTTTCTTTTAGAGTTTTTTTTCTGAGCCTATCCATAATACCTGTGTTTTGTTTACATGTATTTTTAAGCCTGAAAATGAGGCATATTTTCTAAGAATTTCTAATGTCGCCTGTAAACATTTTTCAGTGCCATCTAGTATCAGCGAAGTATCATCAGCGTATTGGGAAATTAGATATTCTGTATCTCCAATTTGTATTCCTTTTATTTTATTATTATTTCTAAACATTGTTGCCAATATTTCTGCGCACAGTATAAAAATATAAGGGGAGATGGGATCTCCTTGTCTGCATCCTCTCGAGATATTGAAATAATTTGAAGGAAACCATTTACAACAACACATGGTTGAATGTTATTAAAGAAGGTATTTATCCATCTAGTAATCGATGGTCCAAAGTTAAAGAATAGAAGAACTTTTGGAATGAAATGCCAGTCAACAGAATCGAATGCCTTTTCAAAGTCAATAAGAAGTAGAATTCCTGGTATATTCATATATTCAGTATAGTCAATGATGTCATATATTACGCGAGTACACTCACCAATATATCTTTTTGACATAAACCCTTTTTGATCCTCATTTATTATAGAGGGTAGGACTGTTTTTATTCTGTTTGCAATGGTTGATGATCCGATTTTATACGCTACATTCAGCAATGAAATGGGTCTCGAATTCTGAAGCAAATGTTTGGATTTACCTTTTTTGGGAAAACAGGTTATAATGCCTTGCTTTTGAGTCAAAGACAATTCTCCTTTCTCGTAAGCTAAATTTAATTATCTTATAAGATACTCGTGAATATTGGAAATTTTTTTTTTGATGAATTCAACAGTGAAACCCGATGAGCCAGGACTTCTTTCATTTTTCATTTTTTAAAGACTTTAATACTTCTTCATATCTTAATTGTCCTTCTAGACTTTCTTGTTGATTCTTTGATAGCTTTGGGACGTCTATGTTTTTAAGCAATTCTGTTAGGTTCACTTTTTCACATGGTTTTTTCGTGTATAGGTTATGGTAAAACGATTTAGTTTCAGTTATAAGATCGTTTTTGGTTAGGGTTTCCTTTTGATTTTTTTCACGTTTATATATTGCTTTGTTTAAAAAGTTTCGATTTTCTAGAGACAGAAAATATTTTGTTGGTTTTTCTCCTTCTTCTTTCCATTTAGCTTTAGATCGTAGTAGTATCCCTTCTGTTTCTTTTTTATTAATAGTCTCTAATTCTCTATTTGCTTCTTTTAATTTTGTTTGTTGATCAAGTGATACAAGTAAATACACAATTGTTGGTATTTAGAGATTGTGTAGGGTCAAACTGTCTGTGGAACATCAGTCAGTGGCTCATCCTCAGAAAAATGTCCTGCAAAGTGATTAAAGGATTTTTAAAAAGGTCACTTCACATTGTTTAGTTTCGCTCTTAATGAACACCTGGGTATATATAATATCCACAAAATACAGTTAAAAACGGTATTTTTTCATTATACAGCTTGTATAAGGAATCTAAAACGCACCTCCCTCAAAAGCATTTCGCGATTACGCAAGATAATGAGGTAGATGGTCACGTGACGTCAGACCCGAGAGTTGCTAAATCAACACACGGAAAATACATGTACAGTGGTACCGAGCCTGTTCGCTTAAACTGAGGTCTGCTTCTAGTTTAGCAAATAAATCAATCCACGAAGTCAAACCTGGATTTGGATGGCATACTAGATACAGATAATACCACATACATGCAACCTTTTCAATTTGAAAGTATTTCTAGCAGCAGGACCGAGAGGAATATTGAGGACGATTACACCAGTTGACAACATACAGCCGTGGGACGATCCCGATCCCGACTATGACTATGTTTTGTTTAGACCTACTGCAGACTGGTATGAAAGTTACTTGCCTATCACATGTTCATGGAAAACGGATTAGATACTGAATTAATTTTTCCGCGGTCACGGTAAAATTTGCAGTCATGATAACGGCAATGTTCGATCAATGTGTTGAGCCTGTTTTCCGGTATACATCGGTATGGGAAGGTAAACACTGAAATAGTTACGTTCGAGGTTCATGATTTTATAAATGTTATTAAGTAACTTTCAGCTTTATTTCATAAAATGCGTCTTCTGCTAAATTTATCCGTAAAGGTTTAAGTATGGTGATAATCTTTTCTATGAAATACGTACCGTTACGGAAGTCGATAAGTTCGATCTCACTACTGTATAGAGATAAATTCGTTAGTGTATGTTTTAGGAGAAGTCGGTGTATCGATCGTCTCTGACATGGTATATCAAACATCAGTTTCATTACATTTTCAATTTCCATACACGTCTAAAGCATCGGTTATATGTCGTGATACGTAGTCATATAAATCTGCAAAATATACGTAAAATGTAAAATGATAAAGACCTGTAACCTCCTTAACAGCTGATAATAGATATAATAAATACATATAGATGCAAAAAAAAGAACTGACAAATCCTTATCTATCTCTTTAACTGTCAGCTACTGAAAAAGAAAAGTCTTCATTGTGTTCTAGTAGTAACGTGTAAAGTGTGATCAACCGCAAAGAAAGACCATGGATCAAATCAAGAAACCAGCACACAAAAATTAAAGCAAATAATTTATTTGCATACAAACTATTTATGACAAAATAATGAATACAGTGTGTACACCAACATCATGAAGGCAAAGACTTGCGTGTAAGTTAACTGGATGGACTTGTAAAAGCCTAAGAAAACAAGATTGATCTCCAATAACACCATGTGACACAGTGGTGACTGCCATCTGAACAAGTCCCAGGATTCAAACAGACGAATACAACAGACCTTAAGACATCAGGCACAACTGGTTTCAGTTCACATCCTAGACACATATACATGATTTCATTATATCTTGATGTCTGTGAATTCACCAGTTCCTGTTTACTAGTTATAAATGAAAGTGTCTGGCAGAATATCCTGGAAATTTAGGCTGTTTGTCCCGCAAGGCTGTAGGAAGGAAATATGTTTCTTCTCCTAAGAATGGCCTACTGGGTAGGAATTCAACAAACTCTGTGAATAAATTTTACATTGAATTAGAGACATTTTGTAACACAATTTCAGTATATTTTGTTTTGGCAACAAAATAATAATTTTCTTTGAAATCTGCACTAAAAAAGTAAGTACTTTTGTCTTAACAAATGCTGAGAGGGAAAATAGATATGAGGATTAAAAACCAGTGTCTTTGCAAACAAGACTCAGTGTTGACTCATTGGTTTGAGAAAAACATGCAGTAATAGGAACAGTGTTTTGTTTTGTTTTTCAAACTGGAGTGCACCAGTTCAACAAAAGATTATTAATTGTCTGAATTATATTTACCATGTACTTTCTTGTTCACTGGCTGGGCCTCTTGGTTTAGGGCTAGGGGTAGCTGATTGCCCAGTTGGGTTCTCCAGTCTTGGTCACTTCTAGGGCATTTAGGCTGTTTTCATTGATGTGAAATGCTGCCATGTACATCCTAAAAAATAGCATTAAAGTAGCATTTTCACATTTGCCAAAAATAAAACCCACAAAGAAATACATTATCTGAATGAACATATTTCCCTGATTTCCCATTTTTGAAAGTGGGTTAAAAGTTACCTATATATACAGCTGCCATGATGTTTTTACAAGGGGTCCATTAATACCTAAGTTTTATGCCAGTGCAGAGCAGTCATTTTCATTTTGTTTATTGTACATTGCCACAAAGAGAGAAAGAGTGAGAGTCAACATTTTAATCATGCCCTAACACACACACGCACACACACAAAATTCACATACCCATTTTAACATGGTAGGGGACCAGTCCCTGGTGGATAATTATCTGATATGACTTATTTTTAATTATGTTTTAGTAATTATGTGCTCTCTCTCACCACCGCACCCATATGTTGCAAGTTCTCATTGTCCATGCCCACCCCCATCCCTCAACACACACTCACATCACAAAACACCCGTCTCGGGAAATAGATGACTTGGCCCTACTGAGTAACACTAACAGTGGCTGTGAAAATATATCTCTGATCGAAAATAGGACATGAGCGCATATTATGACGTACTTTTTAATCAACTATTCCTTCATGTAGCTAGCTACTGGAGTGTTTATGTTGCTCCAAAACAACTAAATCTTAAAACTCACCTGCAACTAACGTCGCGTCCGGAATGCAACTCTCTCGGTCTCAGTCCCAAGTTGACATTTCGGCCTCTGTGTTTGTTTGGAATGTCGAAAGGAATGCCCGATATATAGCATCCTTTTAAAGTTTAAGTCGGTATATGGTCTCTGGTTTTGCTTATTCGTATCCATATTTCGCCACAGGTTAGGTCTCTTTCATAGCACTTCTTTGAAAAGTGTAACGAACACAGATGACCGTGCGTACTAGAGGGGTTCACAAAATCCGGACGACGACAGTAAACAATCTATGCTCTTCCTCTCTTGTAAAATAGAATTTCTCAGGAAATGTACATCCGTGTTGTTTACGCAGTTGGATAATCATCAAAACTCGTAGAGCCGTTGTCAGTTTCCAATACATAATCACAACAACGCTCCATTCAAAATATTGCGCTTCAAGTCACTTTCAACTCGATGGCGTATACACTACTGAAATGTCAACACACTGAGCGGACTCTCTGGTTTGACGTCACACCCACAGATGGCAGATCGCTAAAAATAAAAATATGCATACGAGTGGGCGGGGCTAAAGTGGTTTTAGTTTTAGTGCATATTTATAATTTTTACGACTATTTTTCGTAAACGGATGGTGCAGATGTGGTGTATATTCATGTTTGAATGGCATTATGTAATAAAAATGCATAGTGTTTAACCTTTTTAAAAATCCTTCAAGAGGCCTGGAGCTGCATCTTATGCTAGTGGACAATATTATGATAATTTATTTGTACATAACTTTGTATAGATATTGGAACTGTTTTATACTCGTTCCTTTGTTGGAAGTGTCAATGAACTAGGGCCCACACATGACCTTGACCTTAAGTCTAAGTCTGGCAGTAATGGCAGATGGGTCAGGGTTTTATATTTTTGTATGTGAAACAAGACAGCACATCCTATCTCGGATGAGAGAATCATGCAAATCTCCAAACTCGCATGTTTTTGCTCTGCTCTTTAATTCTGTAACATACTGGTCTGTTTTCTCCCCTTCCCTCTGGCTACAGGTAAAGAATCTGTGCCTTTCAAAGTAATGTTATGTTTGGGAATGCAATAAGCTTCAAATTTATCCCAAATCGGATGAAGTTTCATAGCATCCGTGTCATTCTCAAAATGAAATGTGTTATAAATCTCCAGTGCATCTTCTCCAATAGTAGACAAAAAAATACCTTGTCACCTTTCGGGTCTTTGTCAGTAGCAGTCATAAACAACTGAAACCGTTGCTTGAACTACAAGATTACCGTCAACGGCAAAGATGAGGGTGGATGTAGTTTGTCCATTCTCTGACGAAACCACTCCTGACACCATGTAACAATGTGACGCTAGGACGAGGACCAACAATAGAGGACTGAACATGATGTGTACAAGGTGACACGGTTCTCGAGAAGCACGTGTGAGGCAGGCACATCCGGGTAGGGGGCCGGTCCGGCTCGCCTGGCTCAGTATACATGTAGACTGTGTGCAAGTCTCTTATCATTACAGCTGGGTTCCAACAATGACATGATCCATCTTTTTATCCACTTCAGCATACAGATTCCGATTTATGTAATATAGTTCTAAAGCATGATATTGTCTTTACGTCATATATCTTGAGTTCTTGAAAGACTTTGGCCCTGTGATCCCCACAAGGAAACATTCCAGTCTATGACAGCTTTGTCTGTATTGTTTTGTCTGTGCTCTGTAGTTGAGGCTGGTGCTGCATTTATGAAGATAGTGATTGCTGAGGGAAATAGTGCTTTGATGAGTTTGTGCACATAATGGCTGCTGATGGTGTTGCTGACTTCCCCAACATGCTGGTGGTGAATATTGCTGCTGCTGACTTCCTCAACATGGGAATTGCTGGTGGTGAATATTGCTGTTGCTGCCCTGGGAGGTAGGGTAGGCTGATGGTTAAAGCATCCACTTGTCACACCGAAGACCCGGGTTCGATTCCCCACATAGGCTCAAAGTGTTAAGCCCATTACTGGTGTACCTCACCGTGATATTGCTGGAATATTGCTGTAAGCGGCCTAACACTAAACACACACTCACTGTTGCTTCCTTATTTCTGGTGGTGAATATTGCTGTTGCTGAACATAGTGATTACTTTTGGAGAAGGTTCTTCTTGTAAAATATTTCTTATTGTTGCATCAGAATTAAACACTATGAAAGTTTAAATTGTTTGTCACCTATTCAACTACACCTATCCAGAATTTGTGGTTCCAAGAATATGATTAACCCAAATCCTGTTAAGTTTCCAGGAGATACCGATGACGGACTGTATCCCACAAAACGTTCCCATGTAGCCAAGCAGTTTCTGACACTAGTCCTCCAGGAACCATTCATCATCCCCTAAGACGAGGTGTCCTACCTTAACCAATGTCGGATATATTCACAGCTGGGCATCATACACTTTTTGAAAAAGTAGGGGATATTCTAGTTTGGGGTTATACTATTTTGGAACCAAGTTGTATGATTGTGTATAGATTTAGAAAATGAATAATTTTTAAACTTATCCTATCTCACGGTATGCACTACTCTCTCTCACTTCGACTATGGCGTGGATATGTCCTGTAGGTTAAGTTGAATCAAATCTTCTGGCCTCTCTCCCACCCGATTGCTCCCACTGCTCCAATAGCTGGACCTGTCAATCATCTTTGTGAAGCTAAGCGCTCAGATGGTCACGTGACGTCCCACTAATGTCATTCTCTTTTTTGTTGCCTACAGAGGTGGACGTGTGTTATGCTCTGTCTGCAGTCGTCTCTTATTTTTCATCATGGGGGAAAGTAACCAATCTACCAGGAAGAGAAAACACTGTGACAATGCAGAAGTAATTTCTCCGCCGCTGATCCTCACACACTGTGTGTTGATTGTATCAGATGGTGTGACTGGTCTAGCCGTTGCTCATATTTTGGCAGTTTAGATGATGAATCATTCACCGCTTATCGTAGAGTGGGCACAAGACGAGTGGCAGACAGGGACCGTCGGAGGCCTTCTGAACAGCTTGCCGTTCATCACCATCACCGGACGTAGTGATTTCTTGATGCTGCGTCAGATTCCTACCTCAGCGAGTTAAAGCCGTTTATTGAGGCCCCAGACATCGAGTCCAGTGTTGAGACAGACTGACTCCCCCCCTCGTTTGGTAGTGCTTCATACATCGCGATCACAGTCCCGACCAACAGTTTTAGTGACAATTTCTCAAACACCCGGTACAGCAATGTCAGCACCTACTGGCAGTGTATCTCTCTTTTCTGGCTCAGCAATTAAAATGTCTACAGTCACTTTTTGTAGTGCGAGCTTGTTTACGGTGATCCCTCTAACTCCAGCACTTCAGACTTGTGCGCTGTTTCACTTCAAGGTGACAGTCCCTCTCCGGCCAGGTGTGACATCACTCCCATCTACAACGTCATCTACTTTGCCGGGTTCAGCTCCTGTGACGGTTTAGTCTACATCCTCCCGTCCGATTATTCTGGTTTCTTGGGATCTTTCTAGAGACAGTGCTGGTTCCCAGCCTTTCGACTTTGACTCAATTGTTTGAGCAGTAGCCTCTGCCTTAGGTCGGGATCTTCCCTAAGCGACTGCTACTCCTCCGGGTTTGCATGAACCTTCCCGCCTCGACCATGTATCACTCAATTGATGATGACCTTGCTTTGTTAGGGACCAAACAACATACGTACACCCCACTTCTAGTAGAAAATAGGGAGTTGTGTCACTTGGATTTGTCAGTACGCAAGATCCTTGCTCCCTTTATTATGATCCTTACAGCCAGTTGCTCATGCTCTGTTGCCTGAACAGGCCTACATTAGAGGAGCCATGGTTCTGATGCAGGAGCAGTTCCCGACAGTATTGGATCATGCGCAAGTATTGGATCAGTTTGCACACTTTTTCTCCTACCTGATGGCTGTCAGGTGTAGGGGACCACTGAATCTGTCGTGGTTGGAGGATGGGTCTACAACTGACCTGTTTCGCCAGCCCTGGTCTGGATGCACACTCTTTAATGGGGCCACCAGAGAGGTAGCTACTAAAGTCGTGCAAGATACACAACTTCAGGTTTCAGTTCAACTCCTGAAGTTTCAGCATAAGCAATAGTGTTGGGAATTGGTTAAAATCTCATAATTGATGATTGGTTCATTACTACCGATCAATCATGGAACATAAGTGGTTAGCGTCATTTATGAAATTTGTTAATGCACATAAAAATAAGGAAAAAATATGTAGTTCTTTGGGGGGAGTTTCTGGCAAAATTTCACATCTTTAAGGATGACTAGTATGTTAGGAACATAAATTTCTTGGAATCTTTAAGATAAATTCAATCATGACTTGAAACGAGCTTGTAGTGCTGACGAAATGTAACAGACAAAACCAACCATGAGAAAAATATTGTTAATGAAAACAAGTGTTTCAGAATTGTTTGTGTTCAATTATGAGAAATTATGATTGATTGCTTGGTCATTGAGTCACTACGACCAATTTCGATTATTTGAATTAATCGGACCACCACTAGTATGCAGGTAGAGGAATCGTTGCAACAATACATTGCGAGAAATCCGAAGTTACGCTCCATGTCTTCAGCTCCCTTTGGGGGGACGATCTTTCTCTCATGGACGTCCCAGACGACAGCAACACTACTTCGCCAGCTCTCGTGGCTCTGCCAGGAACGTACAGCCCCCTGTGTCGGGATCTTCGAAGCAGTAACTCTGTGACATTGCTGCATGACTAGGAACTCTCGCCTCCAGTTGTGCCAGTGGTAGACTCACCAGTCGGCGGAAGACTTGGAGATTATGAACTCAACTGGACGATACTGAAAGACCCCTTCGTTCAGTCAACTCTTTCCATGGGATTTCAGATTCCTCTGGTCGGTTCTCCTCCATTGATGCCTCAACCGGTTCAAAGGCTGAGCCAGTCTGTGACCTGACCTACCTGAGCCAGTCTTTGACCTGACCTAGCTGAGCCAGTCTTTGACTTCACCTAGCTGAGCCATTCTTTGACTCGACCAACCTGAGCCTGTCTGTGACCTGACTTAGCTGACCCAGTCTGTGACCTGACCTAGCTGAGCCTGTCTGTGACCTGACCTACCTGAGCCAGTCTTTGACTCGACCAACCTGAGCCTGTCTGTGACCTGACTTAGCTGACCCAGTCTGTGACCTGACCTAGCTGAGCCAGTGTGTGACCTGATCTAGCTGAGCCAGTCTTTGACCTGACCTAGCTGAGCCAGTCTTTGACCTCACTTAGCTGAGCCAGTCTGTGACCTGACGTGCCTGAGCCAATCTGTGACCTCACCTAGCCAAGCCAATCTGTGACCTGACCTACCTGAGAATGTGACCTGACCTAGCTGAGTCAGTCTTTGACCTCACCTAGCTGAGCCAATCTCTGACCTGACCTAGCTGAGCCAGTCTGTGACCTGACGTGCCTGAGCCAATCTGTGACCTCACCTAGCCAAGCCAATCTGTGACCTGACCTAGCTGAGACAGTGTGTGACCTGACCTACCTGACAGTGTGACCTGACCTAGCTGAGTCAGTCTTTGACCTCACCTAGCTGAGCCAATCTCTGACCTCACCTAGCTGAGCCAGTCTGTGACCTGACCTACCTGAGAGAGTGTGATCTGACCTAGCTGAGCCAGTGTGTGACCTAACCTACCTGAGCCAATCTGTGACCTGACCTACCTGAGCCAGTCTCTGACCTGACCTAGCTGAGCCAGTGTGTGACCTGACCTAGCTGAGCCAGTCCTTGACCTGACCTACCTGAGCCAATCTGTGACCTGACCTACCTGAGCGAGTCTGTGACCTGACCTAGCTGAGCCAGTCCTTGACCTGACCTAGCTGAGCCAGTGTGTGACCTGACCTACCTGAGCCTGTCTGTGACCTGACCTACCTGAGCCAGTCTGTGACCTGACCTAGCTGAGCCAGTCTCTGACCTGACCTACCTGAGCCAGTCTGTGATCTGACCTACCTGAGCCTGTCTGTGACCTGACCTACCTGAGCCAGTCTGTGATCTGACCTACCTGAGTCAGTCTGTGACCTGACCTACCTGAGTCAGTCTGTGACCTGACCTACCTGAGCCAGTCTGTGACCTGACCTAGCTGAGCCTGTCTGTGACCTGACCTACCTGAGCCAGTCTGTGATCTGACCTACCTGAGCCAGTCTGTGACTTGATGAGGGCGTCCTGACCCTGCAGGATTGTGGGGATGGCTCGCTGCTGTACAGCTGTCATCTGTGTCAGCTGCAGCCTTTCTTCCAGTACATTTACCTGTTGACATGACAATCTCATCATGTCAAATCAATAATGACGATCTCACCATGTTTACATCAACATTACAATCTCACCAAGTCAACATCATAATCGACATCAGTATTACAACCTTAGCATGCTGCCATCCTAATTAAAATCTCACCATATCGACATCCTAATAACAATCTCACCATATCGACATCCTAATAACAATCTCACCATATCGACATCATAGGGACAATCTCACCATGTCGACATCAGCATTACAACCTCAGTATGTTCACATGAGCATGACAATCTGATGTTGATAGCAATTTCACCATGCTGACATCAGTATTTCAACTTCACCATTACAATCTCACCATTCTGACATCAGTATTACAACTTCACCGCGCTGGCATCCTAATGACAATCTCACCATGCAGCATCCTAATGTTAACCTCACCATATCGGCATCATAATGACAATCTCACCATGCCAACATCAGCATTACCTCACCATGATGACTTCAGTATTTCAACCTCACCAGGTCATCATCAGCATTATCTCACCATGCTGACATCCTAATGACAATCTTACCATGATGACATCATGACAATCTCACTGTATCAACATCATAAGGGCAATCTCGCCATGTCGACATCAGTATTTCAACCTCACCATTACAATCTCACCATTGTGACATCAGCATTATCTCACCATGCTGACATCCTAATGACAATCTCACCATGAAGACATAATGGCAATCTCACCATATCAACATCATAAGGGCAATCTCGCCATGTCGACATCAGTATTTCAACCTCACCATTACAATCTCACCATTGTGACATCAGCATTATCTCACCATGCTGACATCCTAATGACAATCTCACCATGAAGACATAATGGCAATCTCACCATATCGGCATCATAATGACAATCTCACCATGCCAACATCAGCATTACCTCACCATGATGACTTCAGTATTTCAACCTCACCAGGTCAACATCAGCATTATCTCACCATGCTGACATCCTAATGACAATCTTACCATGATGACATCATGACAATCTCACTGTATCAACATCATAAGGGCAATCTCGCCATGTCGACATCAGTATTTCAACCTCACCATTACAATCTCACCATTGTGACATCAGCATTATCTCACCATGCTGACATCCTAATGACAATCTCACCATGAAGACATAATGGCAATCTCACCATATCAACATCATAAGGGCAATCTCGCCATGTCGACATCAGTATTTCAACCTCACCATTACAATCTCACCATTGTGACATCAGCATTATCTCACCATGCTGACATCCTAATGACAATCTCACCATGAAGACATAATGGCAATCTCACCATATCGGCATCATAATGACAATCTCACCATGCCAACATCAGCATTACCTCACCATGATGACTTCAGTATTTCAACCTCACCAGGTCAACATCAGCATTATCTCACCATGCTGACATCCTAATGACAATCTTACCATGATGACATCATGACAATCTCACTGTATCAACATCATAAGGGCAATCTCGTCATGTCGACTTATATTTCAACCTCACCATTACAATCTCACCATTGTGCCATCAGCATTATCTCACCATGCTGACATCCTAATGACAATCTCACCATGAAGACATAATGGCAATCTCACCATATCAACATCATAAGGGCAATCTCGCCATGTCGACATCAGTATTTCAACCTCACCATTACAATCTCACCATTGTGACATCAGCATTATCTCACCATGCTGACATCCTAATGACAATCTCACCATGAAGACATAATGGCAATCTCACCATATCAACATCATAAGGGCAATCTCGCCATGTCGACATCAGTATTTCAACCTCACCATTACAATCTCACCATTGTGACATCAGCATTATCTCACCATGCTGACATCCTAATGACAATCTCACCATGAAGACATCATAATGGCAATCTCACCATATCAACATCATAAGGACAATCTCACCATGACGACATCAGTATTTCAACCTCACCATTACAATCTCACCATTGTGCCATCAGCATTATCTCACCATGCTGACATCCTAATGACAATCTCACCATGAAGACATAATGGCAATCTCCACCATATCAGCATCATAAGGGGCAATCTCGCCAATGTCGACATCAGTATTTCAACTCCTCACCATTACAATCTCCACCATTGTGACATCAGCATTATCCTCACCATGCTGACATCCCTAATGACAATCTCACCATGAAGACATAATGGCAATCTCACCATATCAACATCATAAGGGCAATCTCGCCATGTCGACATCAGTATTTCAACCTCACCATTACAATCTCACCATTGTGCCATCAGCATTATCTCACCATGCTGACATCCTAATGACAATCTCACCATGAAGACATCATAATGCCATCTCACCATATCAACATCATAAGGACAATCTCGCCACCATGGCAACATTAGTCTTTCAACCTCACCCATTACAATCTCACCATTGTGACATCAGCATTATCTCGCATGCTGACATCCTGTCGACAATTTCACCATGAGAGACATAATGGCGATCTCACCATATCAACATCATAAAGAGCGAATCTCGCCGTATAATGGACATCGGTATTTCAACCTCACCATTACAATCTCACCATTGTGCCATCAGCATTATCTCACCATGCTGACATCCTAATGACAATCTCACCATGAAGACATAATGGCAATCTCACCATATCAACATCATAAGGGCAATCTCGCCATGTCGACATCAGTATTTCAACCTCACCATTACAAGAATCTCACCATTGTGACATCAGCATTATCTCACCATGCTGACATCCTAATGACAATCTCACCATGAAGACATAATGGCAATCTCACCATATCAACATCATAAGGGCAATCTCGCCATGTCGACATCAGTATTTCAACCTCACCATTACAATCTCACCATTGTGACATCAGCATTATCTCACCATGCTGACATCCTAATGACAATCTCACCATGAAGACATAATGGCAATCTCACCATATCAACATCATAAGGGCAATCTCGCCATGTCGACATCAGTATTTCAACCTCACCATTACAATCTCACCATTCTGCCATCAGCATTATCTCACCATGTTAACAAGCTAATGACAGTCTCTCCATGTTAACAAGCTAATGACAGTCTCTCCATGTTAACAAAGCAATGACAATCTCACCATGTTAAGAAGCTAATGACAATCTCACCATGTTAACAAGCCATTTACAATCCCACCATGTTAACAAGCTAATGACTATCTCACCATGAAGGGGTGGAGAGAGAGATGACTGAAGGAATCTGATGAAAACACATCTTCTTTTAATTCTGTTACTTTCGAGCTGAAACAGAAACACTCCATTGAGACACTGAGTGTATATTCCCGAATTCCCCCACAGAAACATACACATGATCCAAGCATGTCAAAATGTGGATGCCTTTCCTTCACTTATTCCAACACTACCTGTAAAGGTGTCCTCCCATTTGTGAGAACTCCCAGTTGTGAGACACATTAATTAATGGTTCAGTGCACACAGGTGGTGCTTCCCCATCCCCACGATGAAAGTGGGAACAGCCCTGCTGCTGAAGAGTCCCGCAGGAGGCATAGTTCATTAATGAGCATTAAAGAGCATTTATTGTTTTCAATGAAGAACAAGTTAAATACTGAAATACTGAAAAAGATTATCATTATATTTACACAGAAGAAATAGTTCATTAAATATTTCATTATGATTTTTGACTCACACACTTTGATGATTTGCGTTATATGATGTTTGTGTGTCATTATAAAACACTTTTACACAAGGGTCCATGTTTGGAGATTTTGACACTTTTCATATTGATCACGAAGTTACCTACAAAGCGTTTATTTTTAAAAGCCATTTACCTCAGTAAGGTTAGTGCTACTTTATCTTTTAAGCTACCTCCACAAGATTCAGTTAAATAGATAATCCCTAATAAGCTGGGGTTAATCCATTCTATCAGATAGGGGGTAGGTGTGTTTCTTTGGTACTTACCTGCTCCACTGTCTCTCACAACTGACTTTCCTTCACTTATTCCAACACTACCTGTAAATGTTAGGGGTTGGAATTATTGCTCCAACTTTTTGTTGTGTGATATATTGTGATACAGTACAACCTGAGAAATTATTGAGAATTTAAAGATTGTAATTTAAAAAAAAAATTCACTCACTACTCACATATTAAATGTGAATAGCAGAACATAACTCAGATTCAAAGACGACAGGTGAACAGTATTTTGTCAGAATCACCATGGGCAGCAATGCAAGCTTCAATGCGCCGGGCCATACTACTGATCAAGGAAATTAGAAGTCGTGAGTCCACGCTGTCCAAATATCGGACCACCTCTTCTTTCATTTCAGCAATATTTGTCAGATTTTTCTTATTGACACTTTCCTTCATAGAGTCCCCAAACATTTTCTATTGGATTTAGGTCAGGGCTATAGCTTGGCCAATCTAATAATGTCGCCTTTTGGGTCCGAAACCAGGCCTGTAGATGCTGAACAATGTTTTGGGTCGTTGTCCTGCTGGAAAATCCAAACAAATTCCATAGAACACGGGAGCAGATGGAAGTAAATGTCCTCGAGCATATCTATGTACCACTCAGTGTTCATATTCCTTCAAATACACAGAGGGGCGTTGCCCGAGATCGCCACCCCACGTTAAATTTCGGACTGTTCTTTGGGCGCTGATACAAAAGGTTTTCAGTTTGTTTGGTCCAGAATTTCAGTGTATTGAAACAGCCACACAGAACTTTCATCTCGAGAAAATCACATTGTCCCAGTTAAAATTTCTGTATGCTGTAAGCACCAGTTCAACCTTCGCTCCTTTTGTTCAGGTTTCATGATCGGTGATGGAATTCCTCGACTTTTCTGCCAACCCATTGCATGCAGCTCAGTTCTAATTGTCTCCTTACAGACAGCCACAGTTCCTCTGTCAATCATATCAGCCTTAAGTTTTCTAAACTCCTTCGTTTGTTTTTTAGAAACAAGAATACCAAGCCGCCTCCTGTCACCGACAGTCAATGTTCTGGGCCTACCTGCGCCTCCCTGGTGCTCAATGCCATATCCATTTGCAATATTTTTCAAAACACGATAAACAGTGGACAAGGGATGCCTGTTCTACTTGAAATCACTTTAGCTGATCTGATGTCCTTGTTATAATACTCTAAAATCAACTTCCTCTTCTCTAAATCATCCATACTGAGGATCACTGAAAATGTCGTCTGCTAGCAAGTAAACAAAGGGGGATAACTCTTCACAAACTAATGAAAAAGGATTAACGGAGTTGTCTCTTGAATGAAACCAAGCACTTGATAGCTGGTCAAGGTTGTTTATACTAGAAATCCAATTAAACATATTCCTAAAATTCTCAATAATTTCTGGTCATACTATATGTGTTTTGCGCATTACAATATTTATTGCAATACAATGTGACAGTGTAACATGGTTTAAGATACTGGAATTACTGTTTCTTTCTTTTGAAACAATGCACTGGCCACTGTCGGGACTCAGATGTTATTGTACAAAGAATCAATTTGAAAATGAACTTTGTTTGCGAGGCATTCTAGAAGTTGTTACAATAGTTATGACAAATGTTTATGGATGATCAACTTCTTTATTGTTCTGTTGCGACGTTTTGATATAGAGTGCTTATACCGTTTATCCTATCAATTGAAAATGTTTCTAAATTGAAGTCTTCGCTTTAAAGTTTGGAACCCGAGGAAAAGCGTCCCCTATTTTGGTTTGTTTATCCCAACAAATAGCACCGGAACCAATTGATTTTTTTTTATTTATATGGTTTAAGAGTCACGCAAATGCAATTATATGACCAATAAACTTATCTAAACTATTAATGTATAATTATATGAAGGAAATACAAATGTTATTAGTATGTTTGACTACATCACGAAAAGACCTGTGAAGGTCCGGGTTAGAATATTCGCCTTCAGTAACGGTTGTCTCGCAAAACCCCTACATCCCATAGCCCCTACAGCATGCACAATTCCCCACATCCATAACCCCCTACAGCCCATATGCCTCTGGCCCAATACCCCTACAGCCCAGTGCCCCTGGCCCAGTGCCCCTACATCCCATAACCCCTACAGCCCATAACCTTCTACGGCCTGACTACCGGCCCATAAACCTCCCCGGCCCAGTAACACCCTCTCATGCATAACCCCTGCATCATATATAACCCCTACAGCCTTATAACCCCTACAGCCACCAACCCCTACAATTCGGTTAAAACAACACGCGGCATTTACCTGTCTGGTAATAGACTGATTCAAGGGAGAGATTACGGGGTGGAGTATACAGTGCTGTGATTAGCTGCACAGAGTATACAGATGCTGTTTGTTGGTAGTGTTTAATAATTCATTTTACATAATTGAGATGAATTAAATGCTGAACTATAGGTTTTTTAGCTTCCTCTGCGTACGCTGTAAGCAGACAGATTTTGCAATCGAATAACAATATCAGTGGTAATAGTGTTGGAAATAGTAGACTGAGATAAATAATTTGAGAGGATTTGCA